CGGGCACGCACGCTGCTAATGATGCTCGTGCTACGCTCGAAATCTAGCTCCAAGAGACTTTTAGTTAGCCCCACGATGCAACACAGTGGCAGCAAACAAAGTAAGCATGCTATGCTACACAATGCGATGCAACACAGTGGTAACAAAAATAGTCTCCGCGCGGTGATGTCTGCGAGGCGCCGTCCGTGCAAGTTGCTGCAGACATGCACGTGCAACATTTCACACCATATGTCTATGATACGCGAGTCTTGGCCAAGAACCTCCTCACTCATACCAATCGGCACGACGCAGCGCACGCAAGCAAACCATTGCATGGAACGCACAGGCAGCATACTGCGCGTGCCTTCTGCGTCACAGTCGTGATGCGCCGGCGCCGCGATCGACGTCCACGCCGACGGCGTAGCAAGACAGCGCAACCAATCACAAACAACGCAGTGCAACATAAGAAAAGCATGGCAACGCCACGCGAATCAGACAACCTCATTGATATCATCCGATGCAACACAACGCAAGCAAAGCGCGCCATTGCAATGCGAACGCCAGGAGCCTCGATCCACCCTTCGGCCGCCGCTGGTTCGACCAGTCTCGTGGGAGCGCCAGCCCGTCGTCGGGCGCTAGGCCGCGCCAGCCCAAACGCACACAAAGCACGCGCGCGCACGCAAACACACACGTGCACACCAATTCTTGGCGCAGCGCCGGCGGACGCACAACGCGAACGGCGGCCGACGGGCGACGCGGGCGGGAAAGGGCGCCGCGGCGCAGGAGGGCAGGGGCGGCCGCGGGGGGGGGGGAGGAGGAGAGGCGGGGGGGGAGGAGGGGAGGGCGACTCGGGCTGGGCAGGGGCGGGAAGCACAGCTGCAAAGCCATGAACAGGAAGCAAGGCATGCGGTACACGTGCACGAATGCGAACATACCCTTGCCCTTTATCCCAAGACCCTCGACGCACATTCCGAATCTCCTGCGCAAGGCAAGACATGTGGCAAAGCAATATTTTTCGGGGAGGTGTCGACGGCGCTCGCTCCCCAGGGTCTCCACGGAGACCTGGACAGCCAGCGACCCCCCAGACCAACCCGGGTTTGGAGATACCCAGCCCATTGCGCCCAGCCCCCAGCCCCCGTCGCCCCGTCGCCGCGGCTCGAGGACTTGAACCAAAATGGCTTGAGCCAAAATGGCTACGGGCCACCCTTCCATGATCCTTCCAAAATGGCTTGAGCCAAAATGGCTTGAGCCAAAATGGCTTGATGCGACAGCAGTGGGCCACCCTTCCATGATCTCCGTGGCCCTGCCCCCCTCCCCTGCCCCTCCCCCCCCCCTCCCCCCCCCCCCCTCCCCCTCTCCCCTCCCCTCCGACCCCATCTTTTCCCCCTACCCTTCCCTCCTCTTGTCCTAGGCCCTCTTTCCCTTCCCCGACTTTTCTCACACAGCTCCCCTCCTTCTTTCCCCCTCCACAACCCTCCTCCTGTCCACTCTCCTCCCCTCCCCTCCACCTCCTTCCCTCCGACACCACCCTGCCCTCCCAGATCATCCTCCCCTCACCTCCCGGACTCCTCCTGTTCCCTTCACCACCCCTCCCTCCCCTCCCAGCTGTTTTTCCCAACTCCCTTCGATCGCTTACCTCCCCTGCCTTTCTTTGTTCCCTTCAACACCCATACCTCCCCTCCCAGCTGTCTTTTCCCAACTCCCTTCGGTCACTCCCCCCCAAAGCCGAAGGTTGTGTCCCCTAGCCTGAAAAACAAACCATTGGATCCCACTACGCATGTGCAAGAATCTCCTGGGTCCCTCTTGTCTAACGTCCAGCCCATGTTTTTCGGAGGCGCCCAAGAGGGGGGCGTCCAAGAGGGGGAGGCGCAAATCATGGCCGGCGGCATGTGCGCGGCCCAGGAGGGGGGGGCCAGGGATGCATTGAAACAAGAAGGGGCGCCATGAAATCTGGGGAGATATCATGGCCCCCGCCATGATATCCACCCCCCCCTAGCCATCACACCCCCTCTTGGCCGCCCCCGAGTTTTCTGGGCGTGGACGCTTCGTGGATCCCGATCCTTCGCTGGAGCGAATCTGTAAAACGATGTCCAGCACGTGGACCCACAACGAGTGGGATCCACGGGCCCGTGGATCTGCAGACCAATGTTATGATTATGAAGGGGCCCAAAGACACACACATAAATACGCACACATACCAATATCCCCTATATGTTTCCCCCCCGGGGTTTTCGTCTTCTCTCCCACTTCCCATAGTTTCCAATGTTTTCCTGGGGATCGTCGATTAATTGTGTCTGCGCTCTTTCCCGTCCTGAGATTCTACGTGGGAGGGATCCCCCTTCCCCGGCAACATAACGCACGAGGAAGGCTGGAGGATTGACACACACACAAATATGCTCCATGGGAGCCCCCCAGAAGCTTCATGGGAGCCCCCCAGAGGCGCTCGGATCGATGCTCCACAGAACATGTGCCAGCGTCAACGATTGCTTGTCCACAGAAGCCCTTCAACACGACGAATACGGGGGAGCGTGATGAATATCTCTGCGAAGCGAAAATCTGGTCCGATGCCATACGTGAAAGTGATAAACAGACCGCAATAGGTTCTGGCGCCGACGACGGAGGTGGCATTGAAGCATTGCCTGCACAGGACACGCAGCCTTCGGACAAATATTCTACTCGGACGCATCAGAGAGGTGGCCTTCTCCTCCTCATACGTCCACATGCTGGCCAAACGCGTCGAAATATCTAGAACCAGGAGCTAGTCGTGGGCTCGGAGAAGTCCGTTCCCTCCGCGCCGACGTTGAGCGGCTCAAGTGGACTCGGAAGAACTACATAGTCTTCTAATTTTCCAGCTCGTCGGGCAGGGCTGCCCAGGACGAACCTCGTCGTGTCCCTCATCGTGGAGGTGATCCTGGGCAAGGTCATCATCGAGAGCGCGCTGGTGAAGGCATGCTTGCTCCGCCCGTCCCGCTGGTGCAATGCCTGGGGGGCCTGCGGCTGGTCCAGAGTTTCGCTTCGTCGGAGCAGCGCTGTGGACTGGAGTTCGGTGCTGGTAAGAAAAGGACGGTGTCATCATAGGATTGGCTCAGAATGCGTCTCAAGATTTACATAGTTTCTAGCGCCCCTCGCTTGTGCAGCCCTCGTAAAACATCAGGAAACCTGGGAAGTCCGGGAAGCTTTAGGAAATTATCATTATCTCTTGCTCCTCTCAATTGGAGGTGCCGGGCCCCTGGCTACCGAGTGCGCTCCTGATGGCGCGTCCCTCCTGCAAATTCTCCTGCTGAAGCTACTGCTTGCGATTTTTTTCGAGCCGGATCGATCTGTGATGGTCCCCGGGCGCGAAAATTCGCGAAGACACCCGGTGTGCAAAAAATGCACCGCCCGGCAGCGCCCAAATCTCAGGGTCCCCCCCCCTCCTCCCCCCTCCGCTAATGTCTCCGCTGTTGTGACCTGCTTCTGTGCGCAGCGTCGGGTCAGACGGGAGGCTGAGTTGCATGAGCTCCTAGTTTGCGCACGTCGTGGCGAGGGAGCCCTGACCTCGAGTTAGTCTCGTAATCTCATGGCCCCCTCCTCTCCCCTCCTCGCGCTCCTCGCCTCCTCTCCCTCCCCTCCTTCAGGCAACAGCGTGCAAATCCTTCGACATGACAGGGGCTGTGGGGCAGCCTGCGCTTTGCGGGCTGGAGCAGGCGGCCCTCCTCCTCCTCCTCCTCCTCCTCCTCCTCCACCCAGCCGCGCAGGATAGCCGCTAGAAAGGTACGCCGTTCGTGAGATGGCACAGGTTGGCGCGGGAATGCTCGTGGATGCTGTCTCTCCCTCCTGGCCCCGTTCTGGGCCCTGTCGGATGGCAAGGTTGGACAACATGCCGCCGTAGTCCGACTGTGCTGGCTCGCACTCAAGCGTCAAATCCTAAGACCCTGTTGACAGGCTTCATGCTTCCACGGCCTTGCAATCCAACAGAGATGCTCCTTCCCCACCTCCTCGCCCCCCTCCTCAAGCTCTCCTCGACCTCCACTTCCTCATCCTCCCCTCTTCCTCATCCTCCTCTTCCTCATCCTCCTCTTCCTCATCCTCCTCTTCCTCATCCTCTTCTTCCTCATTATCCCCTTCCTCATCCTCCCCTTCCTACATTCTCCCCTTCATCCTCATCCTCCTCATCTTCTCCTCCCCTTGAGGTCGGACGCTGCAGCAGAGATTGCGACGTCGCAAACAATCACGACCGCAGACCTAAAGCCCACCTCGGGGTGTCGCTTTACGCGCCGAATAGATCTGTGATGGTCCCAGGGCCATGCGCCCAGCAAAAACCCTTGGTGAGAAGCACATGCAACGCAAGACCTCAGGGTCCCCTGCCACCTCCTCCCCCCCCCCTCCTCCCCCCTCCTCGTCCTTCCCTTCCCCTGAGATCCGACGTTGGGAAAATGTGCAACAGCGCAGACCCAGTCTTTGTGTGCCATTTTTCTAAGATCGACCTGTGAAAGTCCCAGGGCACGAAACTGGGCGAAATCGCCTGGTGTGCAAAAATGCAACGCTCGGATCTCAGGGGAGGAGGATTGAGGTCACCTGGAAGTCTCGACACAGTTCCCAGGACCCGTTGTTTATCCAGAGTAGGCTTTGGACGGCCCTGGGGATCGGCGAGGTCCCGCAGAGGCAAAGAAACGAGCAGAAGACCGTCCCGCGTGACTTTCTCCTGATCCCTCTCCTCCTCCCCCTCCCTCCCCTCGAGGGCCTCCTGCGTCCAGCCGTGGCGACAAGGGGCCCCTCGGAAGGCCAACGGCCGCTGTCTCAGCTCGCCCTGCCCTGTCCCTCCCCACGGATTGCCCTCCCCTCCTCTTCCTCCCCATCTCTTCCCTTCCACCTTCTCCTTGTCGTCGTCCTGCTCCTCCTCCGTCTCCTCCTCCTCCTCCGCCTCCTCCTCCTCCTCCTCCTCCTCCTCACATCCTCCTCCTCCTCCTCGCATCCTCGCATCCTCGCATCCTCCTCCTCCTCCTCCTCCTCCTCCTCCTCCTCCTCCTCCTCTGGAGGGCCTCCTCCTGCACGACGCCCTTCTCGGGCGTCAGAGGCGCCGACGGGACGCCGTCCCCGCACGCGTCGCCGGGCGCGACCGGGATCGCGCCGGTGAGCGGGGCCAGGTGGGCAGCCTGTCTGCTGCTGCTGGGAGGCCTATAGAGATGGGCACCAACACCAACACAGGGTGCTGCCTCCACAGGGGGAGGAGGATCCTCGATGTCGGTGCTGGTGGTGATGCTTCGGTCACCTTGGAAACCAATACTATTACCACCATCACCGAGATCGGGATCATCTTCCCTCGGTGGAGGCACACCGCCGATATTGGTGTTGGTGTCAACCTCTGGGCCTGCGAGCTGCTGCTGCGGAGGAGGAAAGCGTGGAGCGAGAAAGCGATTTCTGTGTGTTCGTGACGTTGGCCATGACCGGCCCCCGGACGCCCGCCCCCCATAGGTAAAGTCACGCTTCGTGCTGACCTCCGCATCGTCTTTGGCTGTTCCTACAAAACCATTCCCAAACAGCGCCGGCGCGAAACGAGACGTTACTGTCCCCGCCCTCCCCTCTCCGGGTCACGCCCGCTATCACCTGGGAATGTTAAAAAAAAGGTCCCTTAGCGGACGACGAGCGGTATGAGATAAATTGCTGCGCCGGCGGGGGCGCGTGTTCCACGGCGGCTGAGAGGTTGATGCCTTTATTCAAGGTAACAAGTGCTTGCCATCGTTCGGACGTCCATTCCCCGTGCGTTTTTCGATTTCGTTCGTGCGTTCTCGCAAATATGGTCAAAGATGCTCCCCGACGGCGCTCGCCGAGGACACAATGCACGCACCCGAGTGATGCCGAGAGAGGAGGTATACGCTCCCCAGCTTGCCTGGGACAGGCGCCCTCGAGGGCATAACTATGTACTATATACAGTCCTTCGCCCGCTAGGAGAGGGGATGGGGGGCAGGGGAGGACGGTGTGCACGGTTTCCCCTGGGGACGTACGCGGCCCGAAGAGGAAAAGGAGGAGGAAGAGGAGGGGGCCGGGATAGAGGGGACGGAGGGAAAGGAGGAGGAGGAGGAGGAGGAGGAGGAGGAGAAGGAGGAGAGGGATGAGGATGAGGAGGAGGAGGAGGAGGAGGAGGAGGAGGAGGAGGAGGAGGAAGAGGAGGAGGAGGAGGACGAGGACGAGGAGGAAAGGAGGAGGAGGAAGAGGAGGAGAAGGAGGAGGAGGACGGGCCGCCTAAACCCTTCGGAGAAACCCTCCACATGATCCCAAGGCAATGAATGCATCAATTCCAAAAAGCGCGGGGCCAAGCGCCGTACATGCCATCTAATCCCACCAGCCCTTTGGGCTAAGGTGGCCTAGCGATATTTTCCGTGCTGCCAGTTCCAGACCCGCCCAAGCTGCGACACTATTGGCCACGCGGGTGGGACAGCGAACGGCCCCCAAGGGATCCCAAATCGACGGGCCAGCGTACCCGGAATCTGCAACCCGAAAGAAGGAGGTGGAGGACGAGAAGGAGGAGGAGGAGGAGGAAGAGAAGAAGGAGGAGGAAACGGGCGAAAAACAACACGCAGCAAACAGACGCTGACCAGGGCGAGGGAGGGGAGCAGCAGAAGCAACGCAGAGCAAGCAGGGGCGCAGGATCGGCCGGGAGAGTCGGGGGCCGTCGTCGTCGCAGTCGTCGTCGCGGCCAGGGCAACAGGGATTGGGGGCGCCGTCAGGGCGGGGCAGGGCGACGGGTGCGGTCGTGGTCGTGGATCGGTGGCGGTCGCGGTCGTCGGGGGGCAGGGTAGGGCGTCGGGGTCGGCGCGGCGGCGCTGGAGCAGCAAAACAGGACGGGCGGGGGCGGCGGGGTCGCGCGCAGGCCGTCGGGCGTCGTTCCGCCGTCAGTCGTCGGGGGACAGGCGGGAGCGCAGAGCGGGGGGGGCGGCGGCAGGGGCGGAGGGGGGGGCGGAGGAGGGCGGGGGCCGAGGGGCGGACGGGGCGGGCGGAGGCAGGGCGGGGGAGAGCTGTCAGTCGACGCGGGGGGGCGGACGGGGGCGGCCGGGGGGGCGAAGGAGGGCGGGGAGGGGCGAGGCGGGAGGCGGAGGACGGGCAGGCTGCAAGGCCGGCCGGCCGCCGGGACGCCTAGGCGGCGCCTGGCCCACGGTCCGGCCAGCGCGCCTGCCGAGCGCGGCGCACAGGCGCTGGCACCGCCACTCCCCGTCGGAACAGCCACGCCTCCGCGATTGAGTGGTCGCGAGAATGCGAAGGGTAGCTGTCGCGCGGGGGCGCGGCGGGTCGCAGCACGTAAACACCGGCGGCTGGTAGGTGGTGCTCCGCCGCGCCAATTCGTCCGCGCGCGCGGAGTAATACTCGACTTTGCGCCGGTACATGGTCGCCGCGCAGTCCAGACCAGCGGCCGCGGCTTCGGGCGAGGCCGCGCCGATGTCCGGGCCACGAGGCCGTTACCCAGGGCGCCGGCGAGGATGCGTGGCGGTCGGAGCCGCGCGCCCGGCACCAGGCCCGGGGCCTCTAGCTCGGCGCCCAGGTCGCAGACCTTGGCGGCGTCGCGAGCCCGCCGCGCCACTGCGTGGCGCCCTGCGCCCTCTGGTGGACTCCGCGCGGCTGCAGCACAGGGCGTGCGACCCAGCCCTGTCCAGGAGGGCTGGCGCCGCGCAGGCCGCAGTGGACGGGGTCGAGAGGCCCTGCTGCGCCGCGAGGAGGCGCAGGGCCTCGACGAACTGGGGGGAGTACATGACGGGGCCCTGGTGCTAGGACAGGTTCCAAGGCCAGGTGTGGTCGCAATCGGGGTGCTCGAGGTCGTCGAGCCGCCGCAGTGCCGCGTCGTCGCCAGCGTCCTGGTGCCGTTTGCGAAGGTCGTGCCTGCCCTGCTCGTCGAGGTGGCGCAGGAGCGCCCGCTGGAGGCGCAGCTGCCTCGTGCGAGGGGGAAAGGTGGGGTGTTCGTCGTCCTCGTCCTCGTCGAGAGGGAGCAATTTGCGGCCGATGTCCCTGGGGCGGCCGCGGCGCTCGCGCGGCGCGGCCGAGGGCGCCTCCACTCGCGGGTCGAAGAGCGCGGTCCACCTCCGTGGGGGGAAGCCGAGGGCGAGACGGGTTGCGGCCTTGTCTGTGCGCTGGTCGCACGCGGCCATGATGACTCCTGCGTCGCCGCGTCCTCGCTCTGCAAGGTGCGTAGCCATCTCGCGCGCATGCGGCCTCGCGCGCACGCGGCTAGCCACGAAGGCGGCGAGCGACACTTGCGTCGCGGTTCGTATGCCGAGCCCTCCTTTGCCGGTGCCGAGCGCGCACTCCCCCCACGCCGTGTCAGGGAGGTCGCCGCTAGCAACGAATTGCGCAGCCTCGCGAAGGTCGGCGTCGAACTGCTGCAGGTGCTCGTTCTTCACCCTGTCTCCGTTGAGCGGGAGCTGGTAGGAGAGCTTTGACACGTCAGCGTAGAGCCACGTGAGCACCAGCTCGGTGGCGGCGTGCCCAACCTCCAGCAAGGCGAGGCGAATGCCGCGAGATTTGGCAAGCACGGCCTTGACCTGGTCGTCAAGCGCGTCGGGGCTGCCCACGGGGGCGCCAAGCGCGAGCGCGGGCCCTTCCGGAGCGAGCACCACGCAGGTGGTTCGGACGTAGTCGGCGCCCCAGCCCTCGTAGCGCTGGCGCTCGCTGTCCGGGCATAGCAGGCGGCAGGAGCTCTTGGCGGTGCCAGCGGCCACTGTCCCGCGCGCGCCGCCGAAGAGCGCGATGCTGGCGTCGAGGCTGCGCAAGAAAGGGTCCAGCGCGTGCGGGCGGACGAACACCCGGCCGTCGTCGATGAACCATTGCTCGCAAGCGCCCACGGCGTCGGCCGTTCCCGCAGCAAGCGGCCCCGTGTGGGGAGCCCGAGCGGCGGCGAGCGTGAGCCCCGCCTGAACCGTGCCGAAGCCGCCCCCCCGTTCGGCACCGCGGTCAGTGGTGCAGGTCTCGCCAGAGGGTAGGACTGTCTCAGAAGGCTCTTCCTGGTGCCAGACGGTCCAGGCGGCGATCTCGGGGAAAGCCGCAGGGTCGATAGATGCGCGCATCGTGTCCCACTCCGTGCTGCCGAACATGCTAACTGCCACCACGGGTGGGATGGTGCCCTGCACGGCCGGTTCTTCCACCGTCCCGCGCCAATGCGCCATGGCCACACAAGCGCCGGGCACGCCCGCGCCCCACTGGTGAGCGGCGCGGAAGCGGGCGCGGGTGTGTGCCAAAATGGGGGTGGAACTGCATTCGGACCCTGCCAGTTGGGCCTTGGGTGGAACACCATATGGGGCCGCGAAACGTGTAAGGCGTGTGCCGACTTGGGGGTGGAACTGCATGCGGACCCTGCCGCTGGGGCTTTGGGTGGAGCACCTATGGGGCCACGAAACGTGTGAGGGGTGCGCCGAAGTGAGGGTGGAGCCGCATGCGGACCCTGCCGCTGCGGCCTTCGGTGGAGCCCCCTATGGGGCCACGAAACGTGTGAGGGGTGTGCCGACATGGTGGGGGAACCGCATGCGGACCCTGCCACGGATGCCTTCGGTGAAGCTCCCTGTGGGGCCACGAAACGTGTGAGGGATGCGCCAAAATGGGGACGGAACCGCATGCGGACCCTGCCACGGATGCCTTCGGTGAAGCCCCTTATGGGGCCACGGAGGAGGAGGGAGGGAAGGAGGAAAGAAGGAGGGAGGGAAGGAGGCATGGAGGGAACGCGGGGACCGTCCCTTCAAAACGAAGACCGAACACCACAGGATGGAGGAACAAACTGCACAACCATGAACTGGGTCGGGGGCGGATTTCCTGATCGGCGCTGGCCGCTCCTGCCTGGCGCGCGGAGCGCGCCAGGGGCGGCACCAGAGGCGCCGCCAGGGGGCTCCAGCGCAGGTCCTGCAAATCCGCGCGGCGCTCCAAAAAGTCTGTGCCTCAGCGATTGCTCTCTCTTCCTCCTCCTCTCCTTCTTCGTCTTCTTCTTCGTCTTCAGGAAGCGCTTGCCCCTGCTCCTTCTTCGTCTTCTTCTTCGTCCTCTTCTTCGTCTTCTTCTTCGTCCTCTTCTTCGTCTTCTTCTTCCTCCTCCTCTCCTTCCGCAGGAAGCGCTTGCCCCTGCTCCTGGCGGAAACGTTGCGCCCTCCGCCCGCGGGGAGCGCCTTGCCGCCCTGCCTGCGCCCCAGCTGGCGCGCCATCTGCCGGTCCAGCTGGGCGCGCTCCTCGCGGCCGCGCGCCCCCGAGGCGGCCGGCGAGGGGGGAGGGGCGCGGCAGCAGGCGGGGGGGAGGGTCGGGAAGCATGTCCTCCTCCTCCTCCTCCTCCTCCTCCTCCTCCTCCTCCACATCCTCCTCCTCCTGCTCCTCCTCCTCCTCCTCCTCCTCCACCCTGCAGGGCTGGCGTTCTGGCGTGCTGCCGGTCCAGCTGGGCGCGCTCCTCGCGGCCGCACGCCCCCGAGGCGGCCGGCGAGGGGGGAGGGGCGCGGCAGCAGGCGGGGGGGAGGGTCGTGACCACCTACCAGACCACCCCAACCCAACCCGAAGACCCGAACTTCGGGTTGGGGGGGGGTAAGGGTTCCACATGTGTTTTTTCAATGTCTCTGGACCCCCCCCCCACTGGAAATGGAGGGTAAATCTGAGCCTTCGGGTTGGGTTGGGGTGGTTTGGTGGGTGATGAGGTCGGGAAGCAACCTCTGGGTGCCGAGGGTCCCATAGGGCTGGCGTTCCTGCACGATGCCCTGCCGCGCGCCCGCGCGAAAGCGTCGTGCCGAACGCCCGTGCTGGCCCGAGGGCCGCAGCCCCTGCCCCAGACCGCAGGGGAAATAAGCCTCTCATGTCCGCTCCCAGCCGCCTCTGACGTTGGAGCTCAGGGGGACGATGATCCTAGATTTCGGTGTTGGTGGTAATATTTCGGCCACCTAGAAGGCCCGAAATATTACCACCATCACCTTCATCGGGATCATCTTCCCTCGGTGGAAGCACGCCGCCGATCTTGGTATTGGTGTCAATCTCTAGGCCTGCGACTCATGTCCTCTCCCAGCCGCCTCTGAAGGCAACTTATTGGAGGACTTCGTGAAAACGATCCAGGGCTAGCAGGCCAGATGAAGCGGTTACTGAGCCGACTAGAACCAGACTAACCTGGACGGAGCCCAGGATATGCCCAGGATGAAGCCCGATTGTGCGGGATTCGGTGGCATTAGACGGTATGATGCTGGATTTGTCTATTGTTCGACCGCAGGTACACCAGCGCCAATGTGAAATGCGAGGAGTTGCATCCTAAGCACTGGGTGGAGAAGGGACCGTACCAGGCCAGAACTTAGTTATACACTTCGAAATATCCGACGATCTGGTTTGTTCAACTGACGGGCTATTCACCAATTTCGGCCTCTGGGGCCCATTTCGATCCCTGGGACCATACAAGAAACAAACTCTCTCGGACGGCAAGGTTTCTACTGCTGAGACAGTCGATGCCCCGGCACCCCACGGGGTAGTGCAGGTGGGCATTATTGAGCTAGGAGGGGAAGGCAAATACATCCACATCCGCTGCCACTTGGAATCATGGGCCTGAGGTTCCCCATGCCGCAGGCATGGATGGATTCTGGCCCCAGATTGAAGGAAAGGGGATTAATTTCCTGAAGTTTCGCCAAGGTTTTCGAACGAATGTTGATCCAAATGCGGACCCCCTCAACCTCTGAGATCACCAAGATTTTCCGGAAGGCTTAGATCCTGGAACCTCGTGAACCGGGAGAGGACCCCCCTAACCGACTCCTTCCACTGAGAGAAGCAGTGGTACCAAGAAATAAGGGATGGAGGCGTGGGAAGAGGATAAGCAGAACAAATATTCCGAGGAACATCAGAATGGAAAAAGAGCAGCAGGACGAGGGGGATGACGAAGGAGACGAAGAGGATGCACAGCAACATCGATACCAACACGGGGAAAATATAAAATGACCGAGGTGACCGCGATGATGACGATAACGGCGACGGTTTGACTTGGGGCTGGTAGGAAGTCTCCGTCAGCACAGTTGTGCCTGTGACGAGCACCAACGTACCTGTGATCCAAGATTGTGGTCTCGACATCTGCCACCCACTGCAGCAGCCGCCAGTCCACCTCCTTCCGTCGCATTTCGCCCGTGGGCCATCCCAGGTCTCTCTGGAGAGCGTCCCTGGGGCAGGTACGAGGCTGGTCCCCAAACGCCTCTCCTTAACACTCCCACACCACGTGGCCGGTCGTAGGCACAGCACTTGCACAACACGGGCATTACATCGAAGAGTCGTTGCCTTGACCCCGCTCGGGCTGGGGGTGGGTGGGGCTCAGGTCCAGCGAAGCCCACCCAGACATCTGGCGCTCCATTATTCTTCGATGCGTGGACCCCCGAGGGCCTGGACCAGTCCCCCAAGGCCGGTTTTTCTTCCCCGAATCTGCTTTTCGGGGCCCGCGAGGGCCCCGGCCTCAGACCCGCCGCTCCATTTTTCGGGAGCTTCGCATCCCTGGGAACCTCACCGCATATCGTCCAGCGCACCCTCCTCTGGCAGCGACGGGGGCGTGCCAGGCTCGCCCCGCGCTCCTCGAAGGAGATGCCCGGGCCGCCGGCCGCCGCCGGGGCCTCCCCGGCGGGCTCCTCCTCCTGAAGGCGGGGGCGCGGCGCGGCGAGGGCGGCCGCCGCTGCCGCGGTCGGCCGCGTCCTCGCGGTCCCGAGCCTCCCCCCCCCCCCCCCGATGCCTCCTGCGGTGGCAGCTCGTGGGAGCCTCCGATGCCACGCTGCTGGCTCCAGCGACGTCGGCGCAAAACCGGCGAACCATCGGCGTACAAAACCGGCGCTGCTCGGCGCAACGTCGGCGCGGTCCCATCGATTACCAGGCGCAAGCGCACGAGAATGCACTCGAAAGAAGGAGCTGCGACGACTTACAAGGCTCTCTCCATTTGCTACCGAATCCCGCTTGTCCGCCTCCTCCTTCGCCTCCTCCTCCTCCTCCTCCTCCTCCTCCTCGGTCGTGCCGTCGTCGTCGTGCCCTCGTCCTCGTACATGACGCCTTCGTCGGCCTGGGATCCTCCGTGACGCAGCGGGACCCAGCACGAGCCAACAGAGCTTCCTGGCGTCATGTCCGCGGTGCTCTACGGGAGGGCGAGAAATGGGATGGAAAAGAAACGTGCACCTTTCGTGCCCCTTTGGGGGCCCCAGATACACTTTTAGGGCCCTTTAGAACACAAAGGGTGTACCTTCCCTTCAGCCGCCCCCCAAATATATCGCCCACGCCTGTTACGCAACGCCCGAACCTCCTTCTCCTCCACCTCCTCTGGTGTGTTCCCCACGTCGTTGTGGTTGCTGTTATCGTCGCCGTCGTCGTCCCCTTACTCCTCATAGGGTGGGTAGGCGGAAGGGAAGAGAGGGTATACCTAGGAGTGGAGCGGGACAGGGGGGAGAGGAGAGACGAAGGGAGTAGGAACGATGGGGGGGGCACATCCAACCTCCATCCAAATCCTCCACTGTCCCCTTCCCCCATCTCCGCCTGTTCGCTCCCAAGTCGTTATTTCCAAATAGGTTCCGCAGTCTCACCCTCATCTTTTGAGCGGTTGATCGCGGCACTCCCTCCGTTCCCCTCCTTAATCCAGACGCACCCTTCACCTATCCCCCCTTCGGATGTCCTATCACCCATTCTCCCATGAGTTCACATGGATCCATGATCCCTTCTACTCCTTCTCATTCCTGCTCCTGCTCCTGCTCCTGCTCCTGCTCCTGCTCCTCCTCCTCCTCCTCCTTCTCCCATCAACCATACTCCATCCGCCCCTCCTCCCGATCTTCTCGTCCCACATTCTCCAACTAGTCCGTATTGCTGCGAGAAGCTGCGCCTTATCGTCCCTCCTCCTCCTCCTCGTCCTCATCCTCCCCTTCGTCCTATTGCTGTCGACGTTGACTGGTCCCGAAGATCAAGCTTGTGTCCTCCTCCTCCTCCTCCCAACACCCATGTTCCATCTGCACCTCGTCCGAAACTTATCATCATCTTCATCATGTGAATCCTCTCCTCCTCTGATTCCTCTTCCTCCTCCTCATCATCATCATCCTTCTCCTTCTCCTTCTCCTGCCCCTCCTCCTCCTCCTTCTCCGCCTCCTCCTCCTCCTCCTCCTTCTCATCATCCCCCTGCCCATCCCCCACGATTTCTCCCCACCTCTGGGGCGAGGAAAACCAACAGAACGAAACAACGAGAGAAGAAACGAAAACGGGAGGGGGGGAGAAGAAGGGGGGAGAAGACGAGGCAGAAGGGGGGAGGAGAGGGAACTTGGACGGGGGCGAGGGCAACGAGGGCGTGACCAGGACGCTTCCTCCTCAGACTCCTCGAATTCCTCCTCCTCCTCCTCCAACTCGTCGCATTCCTGATCGTCCTAATCCTCCTGGTCCCCCTCCCTCTCGTCCTCCCTCTCCCTCCAATGACAGGCCCCCCACCCAACTCCCTGGCGATTCCTCCACCCCTTCTTCCTCATCCTCCTCCTCATCCTCCTTATCCTCCTCGTCCTCCTCCTCCGCATCCCTTCCCCCTCCTCCTCCTCCTCCTCCTCCTCCTCCTCCTCCTCCTTCTCATCCCCCTGCCCATCCCCCACTAGTTTTCCCCGCTTTTGGGGCGAGATGAGGACGAACAGGAAGACGAAAAGGGGATAAGATGAGGCACAGGAGGGGAGGAAAGGGGAATTGGATGGGGGGGAGGGCGAGGAGGGCGTGATAAGGGCGCTCCCACCACCTCCTCCTCCTCCTCCTCCTCCTCCTCCTCCTCCTACTACTACTACTACTACTACTACTACTACTACTACTCCTACTCCTACTCCTACTCCTACTCCTACTCCTACTCCTACTCCTACTCCTACTCCTACTCCTACTCCTACTCCTACTCCTACTCCTACTACTACTACTACTACTACTACTACTACTACTACTACTACTACTACTACTACTACTACTACTACTACTAACTACTACTACTACTACTTACTACTACTACTACTACTACTACTACTACTACTACTACTACTACTACTACTACTACTACTACTACTACTACTACTACTACTACTACGACTACTACTACTACTACTACTACTACTACTACTACTACTACTACTACTACTACTACTACTACTACTACTACTACTACTACTACTACTACTACTACTACTACTACTACTACTACTACTACTACTACTACTACTACTACTACTACTACTACTACTACTACTACTACTACTACTACTACTACTACTACTACTACTACTACTACTACTACTACTACTACTACTACTACTACTACTAGTACTACTACTACTACTACTACCACTACTACTACTACTACTACTACTACTACTACTACTACTACTACTACTACTACTACTACTACTACGACTACTACGACTACTACTACTACTACTACTACTACTACTACTACTACTACTACTACTACTACTACTACTACTACTACTACTACTACTAACCGCATGAAGCGATTAAGGATCCCCCCGGGGTTATCATTAGCACCGCCCCGTACCCAAATAATTATTATGGGGGGGCTTTCGCCGAACGATATACTTGGCACCGCGCACGTGAAGGGAAAATAAATAATTCCTGCGTCCCGCCTCGGATGGCATCCCAATTGGAATTGTAATCAGAATAAGAACACGAATGAAATTATCCCGGCAAAGCAACCTAACAGCGATGTGTAAAACATAGCTGGAAGCATTGCCTATGGTATTCATGAAAAAGTGCTGGTGTAGAATTTGTTGGTTCTCGGTGGCAGACGCAGTGGCAACGTCAGTCCCAGTCGCAGTCGCAATGGCATTGCCAGTAGTTGCAATAGCAATACCTACAGGAGCAGCAGCAGCATCAGCAGCAGCAGCAACAGCAACAGTAGTCTAGCAGTAAAAGTAGCAGTGACGGCAGTAGTCGTAACAGTGAAGTAGTAGTTGTAGTGGGTGCAGTGCCCGCTCCCGTCCCCGTCCCCTTCCGTGACCGCCCGCCCCCGTCCCCTTCCCGTGACCGCACTCCGCGGCCGGGCGCAGGCGCGGCCGGCCGGGGCAAGCAGCCGGCCGGGGCAGCCGGCCGGCCCCCCCTCCTCCGCCTCGTCCTCGTCCTCCTCCTCCTCCTCCTCCTCCCTGCTCGTCCTCGTCCTCCTCGTCTTGCTCATCCTCCTCGTCTTCCTCCAGCAACCAGTAGATCTCGCCGGACTACCGCCGCGACAGCAATGTCGGGCCCCAGAATGTATATGTATCATATCCACTAACTTAAAGCGGGCGCGTTACGTTAGGAGGAGGGATCAAGGAGAGGAGGCCGGCGAGGGGGGGGCTGTGCCCATCCGAAGGAACGGGGCAGCCCCCCCCGCCCAAAATATGTTTGGGCCCCCCAAAGCCCCCCCCGCTCCACGAATCGCATTGGGGGGTCGAGATCCCCGCTCTGCAGTGGGAATCGCGGAACGGGGCGCCCCCCCAGGTGCCTCTTATCTTCGCGCTGGCGCCGGCAATGTGCACCTGAGGGAGCGTGGGTTGAAATGAGAGAAGGATCAGGAAGGATGTGGAGGGGCGTTCCGCCCAAAAACGTCCTCACAATCAGGCAAAACCGCAACCCCTCCCCGGGGGCACCGCGCGTGCTGGACCAGGCACATGCGGCGCCCTATGTCGGCGCGCACACATGAGAGGCCCATATTTGTGTGTCTGTTGGAGAATCCTGAAACGCGCACCGCCTTGCTGCGAGCAGGCAGTGGAAGGAGCGAGGAAGGGGTATCAACCTTGACCGCCCGCCCCCGTCCCCTTCCCGTGACCGCACTCCGCGGCCGGGCGCAGGCGCGGCCGGCCGGGGCAAGCAGCCGGCTTGGGCAGCCGGCCGGCCTGCCCTCCTCCTCCTCCTCCTCCTCCTCCTCCTCCTCCTCCTCCTCCTCCTCCTCCTCCTCCTCATCCCTGCTCGTCCTCGTCCTCCTCGTTTTGCTCGTCCTCCTCCTCCTCGCGCAGCCGGCCGGGGCAGGCAGCCGGGGCAGCCGGCCGCCCTCTCCTCCTCGTGCTCGTCCTCCTCCTCCTCCCCCTCCTGCTCGTCCTCCTTCTCCAGTTCCTCCTCTTCGTCCTCCTCCTCCTCCTCCTCCTCCTCCACCTCGTCCTCTTGCTGGTCCTTGTCCTCCTCATCCTGCTGCACGAAGTGGTCAACAGTTGGCTCCGGGCAGTCAAAATGTAGCCTGGGAGTGGCCTTCTGGGAAGTCGAAGAACACGAAGTGGCGTACAGGTGGCTTCGGGCATTCAAAATGTGGCCCGGGTATAGAAAGTTCTGGGAGGTCGAAGACCACGAAGTGCCTACAGTTGGCTCCGGGCATTCAAAATGTGGCCCGGGAATAAAATTCTGGAAAAACTAAGAACACGAAGTGGCCTACAGTTGGCTCCGGGCATTCAGGATGCAACCCGGGAGTGGAATTCTGGGAGGTCGAAGAACACGAAGTGGCCTACAGTTGGCTCCGGGCATTCAAAATGTGGCCCGGGAGTGGAGTTCTGGGAAATCGAAGACCACGAAAAGGCCTACAGTTGGCTCCGGGCATTCAAAATGTGGCCCTGGAATGGAGTTCTGGGAAGTCGAAGAGCACGAAGTGGCCTACAGTTGGCTCCGG